GGTTGCAGGACTAAACTACGCCCCAAAGGGCGGGGCGTGAATAAATACTGTTCGTTCAGACCCAGACCGTTGAAACTTGAAGACACAAGGAGTTGGCTGGGAACACTGATGGTAGCTAGCACAGTGGCCTCAGCTACGATGAAGTCTCTAAATACTTTTTTCTCTGAATAATCGCCTTTGTGATATTATACGATGTTCTATTCAGATACAGCGAAGATGGCTTACAGAAGGAATCGCTCCCAATTCGGAGGTAATACTGAGGGTGTAGAGCTTCCAAAGAAAAAGGAGAATCCGAGTGGTATTTACGCATAGCAAATTTCTCACAGGAAGGAGGAGCGCCCGGCGTAGCAGGGCGAACCCATAAGAAGGAGGGAAGCCCGACTTTAACCGGGCGGCCCGACTGGTGTAACTATAAACAAGCATGCTTACCAAAATATTCGTACTTGTCTTCTGTATTTACGTTCCCCTGCGTACTCGTACCGACCACATCAATGTCGCCTACTTCCTCTCTTATGGACCCTGTAGTTTCTGTAAATGTAGCGTGTGATCAGAGACAGCTCTTCCTAATATGGGAACAAAGTTCGCGTACCATAACGTCTTTCCTCACGCTCCAGCGGAACGGAAGACGTGTTATGCATCGGGTAGTTACGGCTAGCAGTCTCCCTAAACAAAATAACTGCATCATCCTTGTGCATAGCTAGGAACCTTAAATAATAAAGCATACTCATTGTCAGTGAGCTCATTTAGTTCCAGAAATCCGAGTGCTCCAAAAAAAGGCCATGTCATTTTCGAAATATCGTTATACGCTCTCAGCCTCTTCCATTGATCACGTAATCCCCTCCATGTCGCTTTCAGTTCATACACTGAAGCGTCAAGCACGAGAGTATCTCATGCTATGCCAAACGAGAGAACGAAACCCACAGGTCACATTATGTCCTTCTTCTGTCATTATACTTGAAATTCTTCGCCATGCGTCATTTCTAGGGACTCGCATTTTAAATTCTTCATTCCTTCGATCCCAGAGAACCTCCTCCTTCTGCACCAACTCTATTAGACGCGAGCGCATAGTATCTGGAAATCGAAAAGTATCTCATGTTGCATGTTTTTGTACGTTGTAATTGTAAATGATTTCATCACACGTATGAAGGAAAAAATAGCCTTCGACGTCGATAAATTCCGTTTTCAAAATGAGTCCTGCACTCCATTTACTGCACATGTACACCTTTAGAGATAATAAAAACGTAAAACACGTAAAGCGAAATTTTCAAGATTCATCATCATTCAGCACAGTGATATTGGAGTTTTCACACCTAGCAGTGATCGGATCGCTTTGTGCGAGACCTCTACATTCAAACCCCCCTCTACCTACACCGAAATACGATCTTCAAGTTGAAGTCAAGAACTCCAGCGCGAATTATCTCATACAAATGCTCAGCCCTCATCTACGGGAGTGTATGAATTTCAGTGGGTTTCACTTAATGAGAACCGATTTCAAAAACTAAGTTACTTCTTGTTTGAAAATTCAGTCGCCTAAATTCTACTTCTCATCGTCGACAATAAAATAGTGAATTACAGTTGAAAAAAATAGATACAAATAACTCACTCATATACTGCTTTACAGATCCCACCCTTATAGGTGGCATTCCAATAGAAGTTTCTGTTAGAAGGGCTGAAAAACTGAAAATTTCGATGGTTTTGGAAATCATCTAAAATAATGAACTGCATAAAAATCTCTGTAGGTATTGGCGAGAAAAGAAGAAGGGAACATCGTAAGAAAAGCCGAATGCACAAATGGGTCATTCATAGTAGGTCGGTTCAGCTGCAGATATCTGCTGCAAAAGAGACTAGTCAGCAGACGGACGCGCCAGTAAGCAGCAAAACGGACTAGCCTGCCTTCGTCGTCAATCTATAACTCTTACTTTTTATATACTATCCCCAGAAAAAATCTCTTATCAGGGCTTTAGAGGAGGTTCAAAATAACTTCACTAGGAAATTGATGGTAAGGGTCCATGGATATAACTATACGAAAGTTCCCGAAAGCTCTATGAGGAACTAAATTCTAGGTCTTCAAACACTTGAAAGTAGGGGACGATTTGATGTACTCATGCTCTACAAGATCCTCTGCGGTATGGTCTCTGTGGATAGGCTTAGGCTCTTCGCTACTGGTGATTCACGTACTCGTGGGGGCAACACCAAGGTTTTTATACCTAGACCTAATTCTAGGTATAGAAGCCAGTTCTTCTGTCACCGTGCTGGTATCGAGTTCAACAAAATTATCAAGCGAGGCCCAATTCCTAAATCACTCGCACACTTCAAAAGGCTCATGACCCAACGCGGGCATTAATAGCTCCTTTGTATCCAATATTGTTTTCTTTTTTTGCATCTTGTTTTACTCTTGTACTTCACTTCTTCGTCATATTATAGCTTTTGGCACTATTTACCCTTTACTGCCCCACCTTGTCGAGAATGGGCTGGATTTCTACCGAATTTTTTCAAAGGAGATGAAACCGGCTAGAAACCTGCCTACAGGGGTAATTTGACCTGTAGAACACGAGTATTGCATCCATTTGTCATAAAGATGCCTAGCGCTTGCGCTACAGGCGCCTGCGCCAAATCGCTGGGTCACCGCTCCTGCTGAAAACTCGCCCCTAACCAGTGTCCCAGGCGTTTTCATGATGAGTGGATGCGATATTCGTGTTCTATGGGTCAAATTACCCCTCTAGGCAAGTTTCTAGCCGGTTTCATCTTCTTTGAAAAAATCCGATAGAGATCCAGCCCTTTCTCGACAGAGTGGGGCAGTAAAGGGTAAATAGTGCCTAGCTTTTTTCTTCTTCTTGTTTTTTTGGTGTAGTAATTACGCCCTAAGTTACTTCGTCGGTCGATTTTTTGTCTTAAGCTGTTTTTGCTTGTTCCCGTTGTTCAATTTACACGAGTCAGTCATAGATTACGCTTGGTTTCAAACCAGAGAGTTTGACCTAATGTTTTGTTAACTGCTGTTTTAACGCCGCAGTACGCGAGGCGAAAGTCACACAAGGTTGGCGATTTGTGGGCAAAACTCCAGTCTTGGACGGGACTCGAACCCATAGTTTGAAGAATGTGACACGAACGATACAAAATGGAATAAGTAAAAGTGGTCAGGGTGAGTGTGAGTCGAGTGTAAGTCGAATATTGGTCTAATGAAGTCAACCGCAATTTTACTTGGAACCGAAGCCATGTCAATGGTCCATGTGCCATTCTACTTAGGGAAACCACATATCCTCCAGTGATCGGTGCACCCATATACGATCTCGGGGTTGAGATCGAGCATCGAACACCGCTGTGGCACATGTGCATATTACAAGACTGAAAAACATGCACGCACACGTCAGTACTACCTAGAATAAAAGCAGGAAAAAAATAGACAGCAGCTTATGATGAGTCCTCAAACGCTTGCTTTACGAGCAGCATTCCCACAACAGATAAGAGTGCAAAAAATAAGTAAAATAGTAAGCTCACAGAAGACATTACGCACGCAGAAGAACGGCCATTGATACGCAATATGCGATGAGGAATAAAAGAACAAAATCAGCTATCAGCTAATCTGATCGTAAAGCCAGAACCATTCATTCACGCATTCGGTGCTTTCAGCGTTCAACGACGTTTATTGTTTGAACCGCCCGGCTGCTTTCAGATTCAGCCGCTGGGCCTTTCCATCACGCGCGCATGTAAAGGCCGACGGCGGCGCTAACTACTTGTTGACTGGCACGTAATTCATCAGCGTCCAATGTTGTAAACAAGTGGCTAGCGCCGCCGGCCGGCACATGCGCGCCGGCGGCGGGCCACTGGCTGCTTTCAGACTTCGACGTCCGTCCGTCGCTTGCGTGCTGCGACGACAGCGCTAGATAGATGTTAACAACGCTCAATACCGATCGATACCTGATTAACTGATTGACAATCATTGTCTTGAATGGTACCCAGAAATGGATAATCACGCCTATCGCAGATGTCGTTAGCAATGGAACATTTTCCCCACGGATTTTTCATTAAAGGCACTGTTCACGAAAAAATGGTTTCGGAGATTTGCACATGGTTTGAATTCGAAGCCCCCTCTGATACCATTTATGCAGGAATGAGGTCGGAAAACGGCTGGATAGGGCACGATAAGGGCAGGAACAGTGGGGGACGGGAGGCCTCCGCCCCTCGCTAGGCTGACTACGAGTTCAAGTTGTCCTTCACCACATTCGCACTGGAGCGAAGTTGGTGGAAAATCGATAAGCTGGTTGGCAAATTGCCAGGTTTAAGACTGTAGTCTAAATCAGCTGTTTGGGTGTGTTGTCTGTATTGCAGACATTGCGTCGCCTTCGTGCATTCTCGCTCGAGCACTCCCTAACCGCGGTTTCTCAATGTGAAACTCGTCCAACCCCCCTTTCCAGCTCTTTTTTGACCCTTTG